GCGCTCCTCCTCCAAGGGATCACAACTCCTCACCAGTTAGGGAACAAAGCTGGATGAAGAATGAATCTGATGAATTGACAGAAACAGGCTTCAGAAGGTGGGTACTAACAAACTTCTCAGAGCTAAAAGAACACATGTTAATCCAATGCAAAAAAAAAAAAGGAAGAACTTTGAAAAAAGTTTAGATGAAATGCTAATTAGAATAAAGAGCTAAGAGAAGAATATAAATGACTTGATGGAGCTGAAAAACACAGCACAAGAACGTCACAAAGCTTTCACAAAAGAAAGGATATCAGAGATTGAAGATCAACTCAATGAAATAAAAGGAGATGGCAAGATTAGAGAAAAAAGAGTGAAAATAAATGAAAAAAGCCTCCAAGAAATATGGGATTATGTGAAAACACCTAATCTATGTTTGATAGGTGTACCTGATCGTGACAGAGAGAATGAATCCAAGCCGGAAAATACTCTTCAGGATATTATCCTGAAGAACTTCCCCAACCTAGCAAATCTGGCCACCATTCAAGTACAGGAAATACAGAGAACACCACAAACATATTCCTCAAGAAGAGCAACCCCAAGGCACATAATCATCAGATCCACCAGGGTTGAAATGAAGGAAAAAATGTTAAGTGCAGCCAGAGAGAAAGGTCAGGTTACCCACAAAGTGAAACCCATCAGACTTATAGCGGATCTCTTGGCAGAAACCCTACAAGCCAGAAGAGAGCAGGGGCCAATATTCAACGTCCTTAAACAAAAGAACTTTCAACCTAGAATTTCATATCCAGCCAAATTAAACTTAATAAGTGAAGGAGAAATAAAATCCTTTATGGACAAGCAATTGCTGAGAGATGTCATCACCACGAGGCCTGACTTACGAAAGCTCATGAAAGAAGCATTAAACTTAGAAAGGAACAACATGTACCAGCCACTCCGAAAATGTACCAAATGGTAGAGACTATTGACACAATGAAGAAAATGTGTCAACTAACGGGCAAAACATCCAGCTAGCATCAAAATGGCAGGATCAAATTCACACATAATAATATTAACCCTAAATGTAAATTGGCTAAATGCCCCATCAAAAGACACAGACTGGCAAATTGGGTAAAAAGTCAAAACCCATTGGTGTTCTGTATTCAGGAAACCCATCTCACCTGTGAGGACACACAGAGGCTAAAAATAAAGGGATGGAGAAAGATTTATTAAGCAAAAAAAAGCAGGAGTTGCAATCCTAGACTCTGAAAAAATGGACTTTAAACCAACAAAGATCGAAAGAGACAAAGAAGGGCATTACATAATGGTAAAAGGATCAATGCAACAAGAAGAGCTAACGATCCTAAATATATACACACCCAATACAGGAGCACCCAACTACATAAAGCAAGTTCTTAATGACCTACAAAGAGACTTAGATTCCCACACAATACTAGTGGGAGACTTTAACACTCCACTGTCAAGATTAGAAAGATCAACGAGACAGAAAATTAACAAGGATATCCAGGACTTGAACTCAGATCTGGACCAAGCAGACCAAATAGACATCTTCAGAAATCTCCACCCCAAATCCATAGAATATACATTCTTCTCAGCACCAAATTGTACCTACTCCAAAACTGACCACATAATTGTAAGTAAATCACTCCTCAGCAAATGTAAAAGGACAGAAATCATAACAAACAGTCTTTCAGACCACAGGGAAATCAAATTAGAATTCAGGATTAAGAAACTAACTCAGAACTGCACAACTTCATGGAGATTGAACAACTGGATCCTGAACATCAACTGGATAAACAATGAAATGAAGGCAGAAATGAAGATGTTCTTTGAAACCAATGAGAATGAAGACACAATGTACCAGAATCTCTGGGACACATTTAAAGCAGTGTCTAGAGGAAAATTTATAGCAATAATTGCCCACATGAGAAGCGAGGAAAGATCTAAAATCAACACCCTATCATCAAAATTGAAAGAGCTAGAGGAGCAAGATCAAAAAACTCAAAAGCTAGCAGAAGAAAAGCCATAACTAAGATCAGAACAGAACTGAAGGAGATAGAGACACAAAAAAACTCTAAAAAAAATCAATAAATCCAGGAGCTGGTTTTTTTTGAAAAGATCAACAACATAGACCACGTGCCAGATTAATAAAAAAGAAAAGAGAGAAGAATCAAATAGATTCAATACAAAATGATAAAGGGGACATCACCACTGATTCCACAGAAATACAAACTATCATCAGGGATTACTACAAAAAACTGTATGCCCATAAACCAGTAAACCTGGAAGAAATGGATAAATTCCTAGAAACTCGCACCCTCCCAAGCCTAAACCAGGAAGAAGTTGAAACCTTGAATAGACCAATAACAAGTGCTGAAGTTGAGGCAGCAATTAATAGCCTACCAACCAAATAAAAGTCCAGGTTCAGATGGGTTCACAGCCGAATTCTACCAGGTGTAGAAGAGGTGCTGGTACCACTCCTTTTGAAACTATTCCAATCAATACAAAAAGAGGGAATCCTTCCCAAATCATTTAATGAGACCAACATGATCCTGATACCGAAACCTGCAGAGACTCAAGAAAAAAAGAAAACTTCAGGCCAATATCCATGATGAACATAGATGCAAAAATCTTTAATAAAATACTGGCAAACTGATGTCAACAGCACATCAAAAAGCTTATCCATCACCATCAGGAAGGCTTCAGAGCAGGGATGCAAGACTGTTTCCACATGTACAAGTCTATAAATGTAATCCACCACATAAACAGAACCAAAGACAAAAACCACACGATTATCTCAATAGATGCAGAAAATGCCTTTGACAAAAATCCAACAGCCCTTTATGCTAAAAACTCTCAATAAACTAGGTATTGACAAAACATATCTCAAAATAACAAAAGCTATTTACGACAAACCCACAGCCAATATCATACTGAATGGGCAAAAACTAGAAGCATTCCTTTTGAAATCTGGCACTAGACAAGGATGCCCTCTTTCACCACTCCTATTCAATATAGTATTGGAAATTCTAGCCAGAGCAATCAGGCAAGAAAAAGAAATAAAGGGTATTCAATTAGGAAAGAAGGAAGTCAAATTGTCTCCATTTGCAGATGACATGATTGTATATTTAGAAAACCCCATTGTCTCAGCCCAAAAGCTCCTGAAACTGATAAGCAACTTCAGCAAAGTCTCAGGATACAAAATCAATGTGCAGAAATCCCAAGAATTCCTAAACACCAATAACAGACTAACAGAGAGCCAAATCATGAGTGAACTCCTATTCACAATTGCTACAAAGAGAGTAAAATACCTAGGAATACAACTAACAAAGGATGTAAAGGACCTCTTCAAGGAAGACTACAAACTACTGCTCAATGAAATGAGAGGACACAAACAGATGGAGAAACATTCCATACTCATGGTTAGGAAGAATCAATGTCGTGAAAATGGCCATATTGCCCAAAGTAATTTAGATATTTAATGCTATCTCCATCAAGCTACCAAGACCATCTTTACAGAACTGGAAAAAAACACCTTAAACTTCATATGGAACCAAAAAAGAGCTCACATAGCCAAGACAATCCTAAGCAAAAATAACAAAACTGGAGGCATCACACTACCTGACTTCAAACTATACTACAAGCCTGCAGTAATCAAAACAGCATGGTACTAATACCAAAACAGAGATATAGACCAATGGAACATAACATAGGCCTTGGAGGCAACACCACACATCTACAACCATCTGATCTTTGAACAAACCTGACAAAAACAAGCAATGGGGAAGAGATTCTCTGTTTAATAAATGGTGTTGGTAAAACTTGCTAGCCATGTGCAGAGAGCAGAACTGGACCCCCTCCTGACACCTTACACTAAAATTAATTCCAGATGGATTAAAGACTTAAACATAAGACCTAACACCATAAAAACCCTAGAAGAAAACCTAGGCAAAACCATTCAGGACATAGGCGTAGGCAAGGACTTCATGACTAAAACACTAAAAGAATTGGCAACAAAAGTCAAAATCCACAAATGGGATCTAATTAAACTCCAGAGCTTCTGTACAGCAAAAGAAACAATCATTAGAGTTAGCAGGCAACCAACAGAATGGGAAAAAAAATTTTGCAATCTACTTATCTGACAAAGGGCTTATATCCAGAATCTACAAAGAACTAAAACCGATTTACAAGAAAAAAACAAACAAGCCCATTCAAAAGTGAATGAAGAATATGAACAGACACATTTCTAAAGAAGACATATATGAGGCCAACAAACATATGAAAAAATGCTCATCATTACTGGTCATTAGAGAAATGCAAATCAAAACCACATTGAGATACCATCTCAGGCCAGTTAGAATGGCGATCATTAAAAAATCTGGAGACAACAGATGCTGGAGAGGATGTGGAGAAATAGGAACACTTTTACACTGTTGGTGGGAGATTAGTTCAACCATTGTGGAAGACAGTGTGACGATTCCTCAAGGACCTAGAAATAGAAATTCTATCTGACCCAGCAATCCCATTACTGGGTATATACCCAAAGGATTATAAATCATCCTATTAAGACACATGCACATGCATGTTCATTGTGTCACTGTTTACAATAGCAAAGACCTAGAACCAACACAAATGCCCATGGATGATAGACTGGACAAGGAAAATGTGGCACATATACACCATGGAATACTATGCAGCCATAAAAAAGGATGAATTCATGTCCTATGTAGGGACATGAATGAATCTGGAAACCATCATTCTCAGCAAACTGACACAAGAACAGAAAATGAAACACCACATGTTCTCACTCATAGGTGGGTGTTGAACAATGAGAACACATGGACACAGGGAGGGGAGCATCACACACTGGGGTTTGTGGTGGGGGGGCAGGGGAGGCACAGCTGGGGGATGGGGAGGTTGGGGAGGGATAACATGGGGAGAAATGCCAGATAGGTGATGGGGGGATGGAGTCAACAAGCCACATTGCCGTGTATGTACCTATGCAACAATCCTGCATGATCTGCAAATGTACCCCAGAACCTAAAGTACAATAAAAAAAAATATGTAAGAGGACGTTAAATCCCTCACTATTTAAAAGTATTGGATAGAATCTTAGAACAGTACTTTGAGTATAACCCAATACATAACAACACGGTATAAGATTTTTTTTAATGTACAATACATTAAGAGACTAACTTGTTGAAAATTTCATTGTATTACTCAACATGTGGTCCAAGGATATACATCATGAATATCACCTAAGAGCTTTTGAGAAATGTAGAATCTCTGGCTCTACTCCAGAGCAACTAAACTCAGAATCTCCAGTTTAACAAGATTCCCAGGGAGTGCAGCATAATGTTTGACAGCCAACAATATCTTCCTTTCTTCAGGAAGTCAATTGATTTTCTTAGTCATCCAGCACACTGTAGGCTGGGTGCCTGTTCATACAGATTACATCTACATATGATTAGATACATTTTTTAGAGGGCCCAAGCACTGAAACTATATCCCCTTCCTATATGCAATTGAAAACAAATATATTAGGTTTTAAAAATGACATAGCTCTGATTCTTCCATTTGTAACTAATTTGATACCTTTCTTAAAAATATCATACTATTTCACAAGATATTGTTGAGGGTAACTACTTTTGCTGATGTGTTATTCCTATGCTCCCTTTGCCCCTTGAGTAATCCAATAACACATTCAGAAAATACAAAATTTTATTAATAGTTTATATATTCTGAGTTTCACCAATCAAAATATGTATCATAAATTCTTATTTTATAAGGCATTTTGAAACATATTTCCCCAACCCAGATCATCACAGTGCTCACCCCTCTGATTATCTGGTACAGCTGGTTCTTTTGCACTTGTGACTCACAGCTTAAAGACAGTCAGGAGCTACATAATACAAACACTTTAGCCTGACACTTCATCCTCATCTCTTAGTGCCACAGTACATCATCTATCCTCTCTCATACCAGGTTTGTCTCTTAGTATGTGCTAACATTCCAGGCACATTCTAAGCATTCCAGGCAAATTCCTAACTCTACAACTTTACCCAGACTTCTACTGCTTGGAACCTGTTCCTCCTTGTTTCTGTTGAAACAAGGTTGTATGAAAGTATAATCCAAGAAAGGGAAGTTCACTGACTACCCTCAGACCCCAATGACCCAAATACCCTTCTATATTCTGCAATACTTATTTAATTTGGCAAGACACATTATTAATTTGACACAAATTAGCATGGGCTTCCGTGGGTTTATCTTTTCATGTACAATTTGCCCAGCAGACTAAGCTCTATATCTTATGCCTCTGGGGTTCCCATTATAATTAGTAATGCTTTAAGCAGAAGCAATAAACATTTGTTATTGAAAGCATAATGAAGATAAATCAAAAAGGCATGAATTAATGTATTCTATAGCCAAATAAAACTTATTTACATATTATATGTCAATTACATTCCTCTTTCAATTGAATATTTCAGAGTGAATGACATTTAAAATCTGCAATTTAGAGTATCAGTGTGCTTAGGACAGAAAGTATTTATTATTGCCTCATAGCAGATCTGAATATAAAATATAAAGATCGTAATGATCTTATTTAAGTATTTTAATTTGAAATCTTACTGAAATCACCCATAGATTTAAAATGCATCTATAAAGAAACAAGCGATTCCTAAATATCATGGGTTTTTAAAACATCGTACTATCTTCAAACCATCAAAATGAATTTAAGCTGAAATTCAGTATTGTACTGAGTCATGTTTAGCAATGTATACTACACGGGTGAATTTTTTAAAATAACTTTTATTTTTATTTTACATAATAATATGACAGTTTTTTTTAAAGAATTTACTTTTAAAAATCTTAACTGATTTCTTATCTAAATGATAATAGGTTTTTTGGCCAAACTAAACTTTAAAATATCTCAGAAAACTTTAATATGTTGAGTTTAAATATGTGCTATTGAAATAGAATCCTCGAATTACATACTTTTAAGCATACTTACAAACCACCAGCTTTGGAAAATGTTTGAATAATATTCACTTAGTCCATCATTTTATTTGATACAATGATATAAAATGTATTTATGTAACAAAAATAGCAGCATTCAAAATAACACTGAGATTATCATCATAGCTGGTGAGAAGAAAAATTAATTAAAATATGCATAAGTATAATTATAAAGTGACAGGTCTATTCAAGACCTACCTCATTATTTTCCAGTCTTGTAAATATTATTTTTTATCCAGTCTCTTAAACAATATTTCATTCACTTGTGGACAATTTGTTTTTAAAATAATCTTTTATTAGAAACATGCAAATAATTCAGAGCCACCTCAACCCCTAAATATCAATTTTTAAAACTAATTTGGGATATCCTAATTAGTAACAAAATCAAATCTCACATTTTTGCCCCACTTTTTATCTTTCCTCATTCAGGAGATATTTTCAACAAATACAAACAGGACAAATAGGCAAATAACTGGGTAACTATTGCTTCTGTGGGTTTACATACTTTTTACTTTAGGCCACCATTAATAAAGACCAGGTTCCAACCAATATTTCTAACTCTAGATGGTTTAAAAATTTCAAAGTAAAAATAAATATATTACTTATACTTGAATATATAAAAATTCAAATGTTGAAAAACACAAGTTTATTTAAAGAAAGACATTGCATTATTCATTATTTGCCACTCAGCAGTCAACTGTATTTTGTGTGGTTCCGTTAAGAAAAGAACATGATTTCATTTAAGAAAAGTAGGTTGAATGGCCACTATATGGAGGATAAAAAACTTCCTTTCTGCATTTTAACTTTTCAAGAGTTATAGTATGAATACATTTTAAGAATTAAAATGTGAATATATTAAAGCAAGTTTAAAGCTAACATAAACCCTGAAATATATCTAATTTATTGAATGTTTCAGAACATATTCTAGCAATTTTAAATAAGTGAAGTTCTCAAAGGAAAAATACAAAATCAAAAAATGCATATCCTGTCAAACCAATTTTTAAATAAATATGTTATATAAAATATTGAGAACAATTCTAAAATACTTGATAAACGCTGATTCATGACATCACAAGGGTTGGATTTTTCCCAAAAAATATGAGGCACAAACAGGTTTTATGTACATCAAAGTAACCATTGAGATGTTTAAGGTGCATAAACCAACTTGGCAGTCATATACTTCAATGCCCTCATTACAGACAATTTCAAGAAAACTGGGCCACACTCAAATTGCCTATGGAGGAACTGTAAAATCTCTCTCTTCTTATTCATTGGGATAATTTTTCTGTTCCGCTTTCTTACTTTTGTTAATTAAGTAAATATTGCTTTACCCTATCTGGCTAACCCCTCTTTGCCTTGCCTCCGGAGCACATGAGCATGTGGCTTATACTAAAGACAGAATGCAAACAGAATCCTCCTTATATATTGTGCTTGGGAAGAACACAACACAGTCTTTCACTGAACCTAACTTGAGCCAATACAAGGTCCCTACAACAAGGCTTACGGTTAATTTTTTTCAAATTGGTTCACCATTTAGGTTGTATCAGATCCAAGTCGGAAAGAGCACACTGAACATAATAAACCCCAAAGGGAACTAAAACTGTTGTGCATTTGGGAGCCTTCTGTCCACCAAAAAGAAACAAAGATGTTAAATACCCTTTTTACATACCAGCAAATTCCATTACAACATGGCATTGCACCTCATGAAAAACTCATTACCTGAGGAATAATGCTTCCTACCACATTATGGTTTTGATAACAAGAACCTGAGCTGTCATGGATATTCCATCCAGAGCCCTAACAAATTAATTAGCAACAACACTATCACCAACATCAAAAAAAGGGCAAAGTTTCTGACAACAGGCATATCTGATCTGCAGCTGTTGAAGGACAGCTTAGAACAAATCAGTTTGAGTAGGAAAGTCACCTGAGAAGTCCTGATAACATTCATGTGCAAAACAACCCAAAGAAACTGGGACTGAACACAGGAAACTTTTTAAAACACAAAACAGAAATAGTAATCCAAAAACAAACAAGAACACATGTAAAGTCATTTGGGAGCACAGTTGGGTTAGAGGTGAGGCTATGTGACTTAAAATAAGCTACGCAGCCCCCCAGCCCCTCCAAAAAAGGGGAAAAAAATTAAGCTTAATACCTTTAATTATTTTTAAAAAATAATATTTGTTATATATTTAAGGTATACATGATGTTAGAAGATACATATACGATAAAACGGTTACTATAGTGGAACAAATTAACATAGCCATCATCTCAAATAGTTATCCATTTAAAAAAATATTTATGTCTCTAGACTCTACGTCTCTTTAGGATTTAATTTGCTCTTGATGACTCCTACATTGTAGTACTAGCATCAGAACTGCCTGAAAAATGACTCTAAGAGAACTGTGGTTGCCTGGGCAATAAGCTAGCCAGGATGGGGGCTGCCCATACAAGCACAGCTTCCTGTGGCTTCCTGGTATCTACAGAGGGAACTGTAATAGCCCATGGATTATAGGGCCTCCAAGTGCTGGGCAACTGGGGCACATCCAGAAAAGCTTTCAAACAGCTGGCATCCTAAACACAGGCAGCCTGGCACAAATCAGCCTGGGCCGGAAACACTTTAGCCAGGACATGGTTTTCTACAGGATGATAAGAGGATCTGGGGCAGCCATGCTTTCTCTTCTCTTTTTGATCCTGGGCTATGCAGGTTTTCCCAATAAAACCTATTCTTTAACTGTGTAGGCTTCATAGAATTTGTCCTGAGCCCTATGGCATAAAAGGTGGAAACCTAGATGATTCTCTCAAGGGATAACAGACAGAGACACAGAAGAAAGCCACCAGGCACCACCTTCATTTACAGGCAACAGAATTTCATTTTCTATTGCTAAATTAGTGAGTTAAAAAAAAGAAGACAGAACAAGGGCTTAGAGAGTAACTGTAAGTTACTATAAGCATTGGCTTATCATAAGCCAATATAAGGATTGGCTGACATATTAATTAGTATCTTAAAAGAAACTAGCCGGAATGTTAAGTAGCTGTCTCAGCTTCCCCAACTACCTTTTTGTTATACATGGGATTATGTTAGTGGGTTAAATTTCTGAATGTCAGTTACAGGAAAATAGATATTTGTATTCCCATAACCTAGATATACAGGAAACCATCAGCAAGGGCATGTTCAGAATAGGGGCCACCAATTTTCATGAGCATAAAGATCTTTAAAAAATAATGTTACTTATTTTTATGAAATAATTATGAATAGTTAAGACACAGGCTTATAAATTACTCTCTACATATTATCCTACCCCCTAACTAGAAATAACGACACATAAATTCTCACAGAATGCTCACTTAGTACTATTCTTATGGAATAAAGGCAAAGACATGAGGGGCTCTCCATGGGGTCCTGCTTATCTTGGTTTTCATCCCAGGCCCTTTACTAGATCCTGGTACCAGTCTGCCACAGGCACAAAGGAGCAATGCCTACTGTGTCCATGGTGATATCTCCATCATCTGGTAATTTCTTCAGCAGCCAACTTACTCAACTGTGGAGGAGGAGAAGAAGAAGAGTAGGAGGAAGAATAATTTTAAAATGAAAGAATTCCACCAAGCCTCTAATTCTAAAACTTTTTGAATCATGAATCATGACTGTTTCTTAGATAATCTTTTCTTTCCATTGAATATAAATTCAACCTCTAGGTAACCTGAGCATGAGAGGTGGAACCCTTTGCCTAAATTACTGAGCATGCACATAAAAAAGAAGACAGGCTGGCTGGTGCTGTGGCCTAGCTGGAAACACCAGCACATTGGGAGGTCAAGGCAGAGGGTGGCTTAAGCCCCGGAGTTCAAGACCAGCCTGGGCAACATAGTGAGATTTCATCTCTACAAAAAAAAAAAAAAGAAGAAGAAGAAGAAAATAAAAAAATTAGCCAGGTGTGGTGGCACACACTTGTCTTAGCTACTTGGGGAGCTCAGGTGGGAGGCTTGAGTCCAGGAGGCCCAGGCTGCAGTGAGGCATTGTGCCACTGCACTCCAGCCTGAGTGACAGAAAAAAAAAAGTGGGGGAAAGAAGGCAACAATGTACCTAGCTTCTACTACTGTCTGTAAAATAATCATCAACCTCTGGAGTTAGAGAGAGAGAGAGAACATGGAATCATAATTGGCAAGAGACTTAGCATGTATGAATACAAACCCATGTTAGAAGAATCTTTTAAACCATGAGGTAGATATTTTTTATAAAGTATGAATTTGTACTGACTTGACATTTAAAATCAGAGATACTTCTAATTATCAACTCTTCCATTGCAACAGTCAAATAAAAATCATATGCCCTCATTTTACCTTATTATTTGTACTTACTCCAGAAGGTGTTATTTTTATAGTGCAGCCTTTCAAAATTTTACAACAAAATCCTTAGATGATTTTTAACTTAGACAAGGAAAAGCATGCTTAGCATGTCCCCATCTTCCATAAAAAGCAACAGAAAGTAAAATATATATTACCCATAATCATCTATGAAAACTGTCTATTTGTCTAAGAAGTTATGAGTTCTTTAAATATGGTAATACTCCTCATAAAAAATACTTTTTACCACTGTTCAAAGTTAGCTGTTTCTAAGATATGCTGCAATTTATCATAAGTTTCTTGATAAGCAGGAGATTTTAGCTTTCTGAAAGACAATGGCTACTTCTAAGGGAAGAGAAAAGGGATGGAATCAGAAAAGAACAATAGGGCGTTTCTAGTATGCTCATGGTATCCTAATTTTTAACCTAGATGTTGTCACAAAGGTATCCACTTTATTACATTCTTTCTGCTGTCACATTATCTTGTAGTTACCCAATATTTAAATTAAAATATTATGTAGACATATGGTAGAGTTGAAATTTTGTTTTAAAGAAAATTCTTCTAAGTAAGGAAGGGAAATTACTCAAATGAGAGGAATAAATTCCCAAAGGCAGGAAAGCCTGGTGTGTTCAGGAAACGGAAAGAATTCCAGGGTAGCTGGGGCCATCTAAATGAGGAAGAGAACAGGACAAAATGAGACTACAGGGAAAAGAAGGGTCTGATAATGCAGAACGTTGGAAGATAAAATTCAGCACTGTCTCAACATTATTGCAGGGTGTTCATGGACTTTCTTCTCTAGTGCAATCAGTACATTTCTTAGGATGGAATACTTCACCACTACCATTATCATTAGCCAGATCTCTGGGATTTCCGTTCTTACCATAATACACACTATTGTGATTAATATGAGATGGAAAGTTTTTAGATATTTTAATTGACATAGTCCTCTCTGAGCCTCTTCTACATAACTGCAAATAAAAAGGGAGCAATGAAATAACATTGTTTTCAGTCATAGCAGGGTCTTCCTTTTTTCCTTCCAATTTTTATGAAAGGTTGGGTATATGTGTATGTAGAAATTATGTATATGATGACGAGACCGTCTCAACTTAAATTAAAAAAAAAAGGGGCCAGGCGCGGTGGCTCAAGCCTGTAATCCCAGCACTTTGGGAGGCCGAGGCGGGTGGATCACGAGGTCAAGAGATCGAGACCATCCTGGTCAACATGGTGAAACCCCGTCCCTACTAAAAATACAAAATATTAGCTGGGCATGGTGGCGCATGCCTGTAATCCCAGCTACTCAGGAGGCTGAGGCAGGAGAATTGCTTGAACCCAGGAGGCGGAGGTTGCGGTGAGCCGAGATCGCGCCATTGCACTCCAGCCTGGGTAACAAGAGTGAAACTCTGTCTCAAAAAAAAAAAAAAAAAAAAAAGATACATTATTCAA